GGTGGAATACACTTTTGATCTGATGAGTATCCAATGAAAAGCAAGAATACTAGGATAATGTACCGTTGAATGCTGAAGAAAGTAGAGGTTGTTTGCCTTAATTAAGGTAAAGTTATGTGCAGAGTTAAATTATACTTATTAATTAATTTCATAGAAAAGTAAAATATTGGAGCTGGCCATAAGGATTTTTCTCACCTTTCATTTAGGAAATGAAGAAATCCTATCTTATGATCATACATAAATTCGTGGCAGAGCTGAAGTAGAATTAAGGTCTCTGAATTCCTAGTCCAGGGTTCTTTCTTTATACTAGGCTATTTCAGAGGGTACCCTTGAGACTTCAAAGAAATATCACCTCATGATGTAACTGATCTCCTCTTTTTTCCTTGTTGTTCCGGGTAATTAATAGTCTGGTTTACCTGGGTCCCAAACGATGACCTTCCAAAGCCCTGGCCAAGGCAGTGACTTCCCTTGAAATGAACACCACTATCACAGTAAGCAGCTACTTCAAGGACAGAATCCTGATGCACAAAAAGAGTTTAATAATTGTATTTCATACCATGAAAATCCTAACTTGAATGCAAGCCAAAAGATATTTGTTAGAAATCACTGACAAATAATACTTTGCCAAACAGTTCAATTCTATAATACCTTATATGTTCGAATTGGCTTTTAAATTCCCTTGAGTCAAAACATCTGTGAGTTGATTTCAAATTAATCATATGCTCTTAGCTAGTGGGCTTGGAGAGTGTTTGCTAATAGATTTTAGAGGAGTGAGGCCCATACGAAAATAAATAATTTGAGGTAGAATGATGCTTTGTTCATGTATGTCTCATTCACCTATATAATTGCACTGAACAGAGAAATCATATTTGACAAAAGTTGAATGGACACTAAAATATCTCTTAGGAAAAGGGAATTTTAAACTTATTTTTAAACTTAATGATCTTAATATTTGTAGAGCCATCACCCAAGTGGTTGAGTCTAAGAGCAGCATTATGGTCAAAGAAATCCAGTTCAGCAACCAAACTAAATTTTGAAGTGAATGCAAGTCCTTTGCTTGATTTTCTCTAACTCCAAAATAGGGTTACAGCAATTCTTAAAATCTCCCTTTTCTCATCCATCCTGTCCCTTAAAAATCATAACTCTTCTTCAGATTTCTCCCTACACACACACACACACACACACACACACACACACACACACACACACACACACACACTCTCCTCCCAGGTCCTAGCTCAAACTTCTTGTCCTTCTATTCTTTCCTCTTGATTCTACATCGCTCTTTGGAGAAATGAAGAAAGTCCAGGAACAGTTGCGTATCGGTTATTTTCTTGTCATAAATCAATACTTTATGAAAGGCTTATGATATTTTGTTTAAAAAAATAACCTACATAACTCAGTTTCATTTACTGCAAATATTTTGCATAATTCAGAAATTCAGGTGTGGTGTTTTAACAGTGCATTATCAGGTTTAAAGGGTTGAGAAAATATTTCTAGAATTAGTTACTGAATTTCAGCTAAGGGAACAGTACCGCAAAACTATGGGGTCAGTGAAAAGAAGGTGTTGTTTCCATTTCTAGCTCTGTTACCTTCTTCCTTCCCCTAGGCATTTGGACAATGATGATGATAATGTTGGTGATGGTGATGATGACAGCAATGATAACTGATTATAATTACAATAGCTAATATTAAATAGTGCTTAATATATGCCAGACACTTTTCCCAGCATTGATGTGCATTAACTCATTTAATCTTCACAACAACTCTGGAGTATTGTTCCCTTTTAGAGATAAGTTGTGTAACTTGTCCAGGGTCAAGTAGCTATTAGAACTGGGCACGTATCTTCAGATTTCTCCCTACACACACACACACACACACACACACACACACACACACACACACTCCTCCCAGGTCCTAGCTCAAACTTCTTGTCCTTCTATTCTTTCCTCTTGATTCTACATCGCTCTTTGGAGAAATGAAGAAAGTCCAGGAACAGTTGTGTATCAGTTATTTTCTTGTCATAAATCAATACTTTATGAAAGGCTTATGATATTTTGTTTAAAAAAATAACCTACATAACTCAGTTTCATTTACTGCAAATATTTTGCATAATTCAGAAATTCAGGTGTGGTGTTTTAACAGTGCATTATCAGGTTTAAAGGGTTGAGAAAATATTTCTAGAATTAGTTACTGAATTTCAGCTAAGGGAACAGTACCGCAAAACTATGGGGTCAGTGAAAAGAAGGTGTTGTTTCCATTTCTAGCTCTGTTACCTTCTTCCTTCCCCTAGGCATTTG